TATATATATATATATATATATATATATATATATTTATTTATTTATTAGTTTGGACGTGGACAATCCTATTTTTTTTCTCAATTTTTTATGTAAACTGTTTTAAAAAATATGTCTTGAAATGTGATTTTTACTTTTGAAGTCGTATTCCACAAACTCGAGTTTCTTATTTTTATATTTTTTAATTTTCTATCCTAGTTCTGGTAAAAAAAAGTTAATAAATAATTTATGATTTTATAACAGTTGTAATCCAAAAGCAGAAAACATTTTTATGAACTTGAGTTGTGGTTAATTGATTTACCATCGTCCCTAAGTAAGAATTAGTAACAAAATAAAAGCAGCCCATTTCTTTCGTTTTCCGAAACGGCTCAAAATCTGAACGAGCACTACTACTCTGCTAGTACTAGCATCGCAAGTAGAGACTCGAATTGGTTATAAAAAAATAAAGAAAAAAGAAAAAAGTAGTAGCGTGTTCCCGCCATGCCCCAGAAACAATTCTAGTTATCAATACCATTCCCTTTCCCTCTCCTTAACCCTTTCACTCTCTTCTGCAACACACAACAGTACACAGCTATGTCCTCTTCGCGTCGCAACACCAACGGTCGATCACCGCTCGTCAATCAGCAGCGTCAAATCACTTCCTTCTTCACCAAATCCGCTTCTCCTTCTCCCTCTCCCACCCTCTCCAAAACCACCCAAAAACCTAACCCTAACCCTAACCCTACCCCTCTCAATGCCAAACACAAGCCTCTTCTTCTCATCGGCGCTTCCGCTTCTCCGCCCTCATCTTCTCTCTACGGCCAAGAAGTTGTTGGCCGAAGGATCAAGGTTTATTGGCCATTGGACAATGCCTGGTACGAAGGTTCCGTCAAATCCTTCGACAGCCTCACCTCCAAGCACCTCGTTCGTTACGACGACGACGAAGAGGAATCGCTCGACCTCTCCAAGGAGAAGGTCCACTTGCTTCAGGATTCCTCTTCCAAGAAACTTAAACGCCTGCGTCGCGGCGTCCCCGTCGTTAGGAAGATGGTGATTGACGACGGCGAAGAAGAAGAGGGTAATGATGCTGCTGATGGTGATGATTCCGATGATGAAGATTGGGGGAATAATGCTGCATTGGAGGATGCTGGGGACGGTGATGAAGATACGGACTTAGAGGAGGAAGGGGATGAAGCAGAGATGGCTAAAGGGAAACCTGGTGGGAAGGTTGAGGGTAGAAAGCGGAAGCTAAGTGGAACGGTGAAACAAGAGTCTGCGAAAAAGAGCAAGAGTGGAGTGGAAGTTGGCAAGGGAGCTTTTAAGTTCTCTGTGTCGGAACCTACGAGTAATTTGGAGAGTAAGTGACCTAGTTAAGCAATGGAGCTTTCTAGCAGAGAAACTGTTTTTTGAATTTTCTCAGATTAATTTTGGCGTTCAGATGTTGATATTGATCATTATCTTATTAGTTTTGTTTTTATTACGTTTGTGGCGGTGGAGAGTGTGTTATATGGGATTTTTCAAATTTTGAGATCAAAAGCACATGTTTGTTAAATACGGAAGGAAATGGCCAAAAACATTGCATGGCGATGGTAAAGATTTCATAACAAAGGAAAAGGAAGAAATCACTCTTGTAGTTGTTTCTCCAATGGCAACACTTTTATACATGCCTTTAATATTTTTCCCCGTCTTCACTGGCACCATTTTCCGGATGCTCCTTCTTATTCCACTGGATGATGTCACTAGCCAACTGAAATTCATAAAGCAACCCGTTTGCATCATTGCAAAAGGAGTTCACACTTCCCAAAGCATGAAAGTAGAACGCAATGTTTTGTCTTTTCTGTCATTTGCAAGTTTTAAAATGCGAACCAAACACACGAGAGATTATTATATTTTGTAATTTATAATTTAAGTCATGCCTTTAAATTTTGCAGATAAAAATACGTCTAACGGTGCTGATAATGTTGTGACTGCCGAGGCTTCTGAAAGATTTGCATCTCGTGAAGCTGAGAAATTGCGCTTCCTGAAAGTGTGAGTGCCGAGTATAGTGATGTAGTGTTTTAAGTTTTTCATGCCTAAATTTCTTTCTTGCCTCGAAATGCTATGCCAATACCATTTATGTGTTTGCAGTTATTGGCTGTTTGTGCCATTTTTTCAGTCATTTAATTTGTTGGTATATATTTTAATTTTATGTTGCTATCTATGTGTATGGTATTGCTACAGAGATCGCAGGGATGCCAAGCGAAGACGGCCGGGAGATGATAATTATGATTCAAAAACTCTTTACTTGCCTCCTGATTTCTTAAAGAATTTGTCGGATGGGCAGGTATTACTGCTAAAGCAGTTGGGTGAAATTCTCAAAATTTCAATGATGCATGCAATTAATACTGTCATTTGATAAATGCAGAAACAGTGGTGGGATTTCAAGTCAAAGCATATGGACAAAGTTTTGTTTTTCAAGGTTTGAGCTGGATAAGTTTTGTTGGTGCAATTAGTTCATTCCTTATAACCAAATTGAATATTTTTCCTCATTGTTGGTGCAGATGGGTAAATTTTATGAGCTTTTTGAAATGGATGCACATGTAGGCGTGAAAGAGCTTGACTTGCAGTATATGAAGGTGTGCATGAGTGTCTAGGGTTGTTGATTTTCTTTAGAATCTCAAGGTGTCTTATTTGCTTGCTCTAAATAATGCATGCTTACTGGTTTCCATATGACTCTTCCAGGGAGACCAACCTCATTGTGGATTTCCAGAGAAGAATTTCTCGATGCATGTGGAGAAACTGGCCAGGAAGGTTTGCCTCGTAGATAGCTTTTTTTATTTTTTTATTTCATCTCTTCTACTGAGATAATTATTATGTCCAAGAAGCCAACTTGCAACTAGGGAGGAACTTACTAAGTTGCCTTTGCTGAGCAGGGTTATAGAGTTCTTGTTGTAGAGCAGACTGAAACACCTGAACAGCTGGAGCTTCGTCGCAAGGAAAAGGGCTCTAAAGATAAGGTCTGATCACATCTCACAATGACCAGGAGAAGTCATTATATTTTATTCTCTTTTTACCAAGCCTTATATTTCTGTGTAGAATATTGTTTTATATCTTTATTTTATGAGATACTTTTCTTGCTAACCCTAGTGTTGATAGAGCAACATTGGTCTCTAACTTGATATTTCTTTTTCCTTCTAGGTTGTAAGGCGTGAAATATGTGCAGTGGTTACAAAAGGTACATTAACGGATGGGGAGCTGCTGTCTTCAAACCCTGAAGCTGCTTATTTAATGGCCCTGACCGAGCATCACGAAAATAATCCAAATGAAATTTCAGAGCATATCTATGGTGTTTGTATAGTTGATGTTGCCACAAGTAGGGTTATTCTTGGACAGGTATGACACTGTACATTCATTCTAGTTCTCTGGCTAAATTTTATTATGCATAAACTTATTCCAAACCTTGAATGGGATCTGCAAATGTGATCTGGCTGTTAAGTATTGAATTCTTCTACCTGTAGCTGTATAAGGCTTTTGCACAAAATTTCAATATTCATTTGGTTGCTTTGTTCCTTCCTCCATTTGCCTTGGTGATCAGTTATTATTTTAGAATTTCCTGAATTTATTTGGAAAGTGAGCATGCATACCAAATATAGACCTAATTAATCTTCTGATTGGTTATATTATCCCTTATGTAAAAATAGTAATTGGCTTCACTCTATGGCAGTTTAAGGATGACTTGGAGTGCAGTGCTTTGTGCTGTATCTTATCTGAGATCAGGCCTGTTGAAATTGTGAAACCTGCTAAACTACTCAGTGCTGAAACGGAGAGAGTACTGCAGAAGCATACCAGAAATCCTTTAGTGAATGAATTAGTCCCAATTGTGGAATTCTGGGATGCTGACAAAACAGTGGATCAATTGAAGAAAATTTATGGGAATACTAATGATGTTAGTGTTGAAGATAGTGGCCTGCCAGATGTTTTACTGGAGCTGGTGAAGACAGGTGATGACAATAGAAGTGCACTTTCAGCACTAGGTGGTGCTCTCTATTATCTGAAACAGGCTTTTCTAGATGAGAGATTGCTTAGATTTGCACAGTTTGAGTTACTTCCATGTTCTGGTTTTGGTGACTTTGCTTCAAAACCCTACATGGTTCTTGATGCGGCTGCCCTGGAGAATCTTGAGATTTTTGAGAATAGCAGGAAT